AGGATGAAGAAACAGAAGACTCAATAGCTTGTAAATTTCAGGCCTACCTAAATGAAAAAATATTATGTTGGATTTTCTCTTAATTTTGCAATTTCTTCACACCTATAAGTGTTTGTGGCCCCAGAGCCCTACTCCTGAGTTAAAAATACGTGTTTTTCTTGCTAAGCAAGGACATCAAGAAACACATTGTGACCTCAAAGACAGACATTTTTACTTTTATGTAATTATATTTCTATTGATAATAGCCAGAATGTTCTGACTGTAAGTATGTAAGATGGAACTTACCTGGGAAGAGAGGTAGGAACAGGAAATTAGTTAAACAAAATTCTGAATGTATTGATTTCACTCCCTGTGTGTAATCCTTAGCCTTAACTTTGAAAATGGAATTTTTTTTCTCCACTGTACAGTAGTGATTTTTTTAAGACACCACCTGCATGCTGGCCATCCCTTTTATAAACTTTTATAACTTTTTTTTTACTTTTATGAACTTTTATATATTTTATAAACTTTATAAACTTTATTTTTATAAATTTTTATATCACTTTTATAAACTTTATGTTATTGAGATATCACAGCTTGCAATACTATTGAAGTCATTGTTTTCCCTCTGTCCTCTGCACCAATCACTTCCCCCAGTATTTCAGGAGCCCTGCCTACACCATTACCCCATAGTCGTTCCCCTTCATTTCCTCAGTAATTAAGTAAATATAATTAAAATTAAAAACTCATATTTTATCAACACATTCTGTTTCTGAAATATATTCTTACTTCATTTACAAATCAGGGTCCCATGGTTCAGAGAAGTTAAGCAAATTAGCCAAATCCTATAGTTAGCAAATTTTACTTGGTTATGAAGCAAAGCAGGTTGTGAAACCATTAATCTTTAGGGTTCTAGCTGGGCCCCACTACACTTGATGGAACCCAACCCTAGCCTGACTTTTCTGGATCATGTACTACAATTCCCACCACCTGGTTTGAACTTAGATGATAAGGAATCCAATTTATGTGTATAGATAATAGATTAATCAGCATGCCCAACACTAGAGATATGCCTTTCCATCAGACTCTACAAAATAACCTCTTCCCTAAATCATCTCCGATTACCATCCTGCTTCTTGTTCTTCATATGCAAGGATTCTAATAATTACTATCTTCAACCCTCTCCCTTAAAGTTAATACTGGTTTTATGCAATCCAAAAGCTTTAGAACAGAGTTCTGAAATTAACAGTGTGGTTAACCTCCCTAGACCCACCTGCAAGATAGAGCAACTGTAAATCTGCAAGACTAATCTTGGGGGAGCTGATTTGCAAAGTGTTGGTCACAATTGCAAACAAGTAAACGAATTCATTTAGCAATGAATGTCACCATTGAATACTCAGAATTCTGGGGTATGTATTAAGTGATGGAAATAAGGATCATAAGTGATTTACATTAAGCAGAATTTTTCAGCTTAAAATTTATCTTCACATCTGCAGGTCTAGCAGTGATCCTGTTGAGTAGTGAAGTTCAACAAAGGAAATAAAACAGTCTCCTGCAGATGAAAGAAGAGCATGAACTGGATTGGGTTTTAAGCTAAGAAAGAAGGTGAACCTGTATGTCCTCAAATGAAATATTTAATTATTCTGTGACTTATTTTCCCAATAGGTTGTAGTAAGGTAAAAAACTTACAGAACTGTACAGGAGTCAGTAGACCAAAGCAAAGAATTATACTGGGAACTGTCCTTTGTTCAGGTTCATAACCTAAGGATAGGATTATGTTCTGTAAAATGCTTCCTTAGGTGATGTGCTGCTGTGTGAGCATCATAGAACATGATTGGACAAGTCTCGATAATATAGCCTACTACATACCTAGATTATCTATAACCTTTTGGGACCACCATTATTTATGTTGATCAACCTATTAAGCAATGGTCACTATAAAGATACCAATTAATAAGGCAACTGGAGTTGCACTATAAGGGATTAACCTTGGCTATGTCATCTAATAATTTTATCATATTGCCATTTAATCTGGTTATGACTTTCTTTCCTCATCTTGAAAATGGGAAAATAGCTCTACATCTTAGGATGTTGCTGACCATTACAAGATATAATAAATCAAATAACCTGCCCTTAGAAGTCAGGTACAAAGACCATAGCAAATGACTTTCGGGTATATTAAATAAGACAAAACCAGAAACCTAACAAGTTCTTGATTTTCATTCTTCAAAATATGTTCCAAAGTTTTGATAATCAAAAGGAGTGATTTGGCTTGAAGATAGACACATGAAATAATGAAACAGCATAAACACCAGAAAAAAACCAATAGACACATGGTTAATTCTTTTTAAAAAAAGACAAACTGCACAATTGAAAAACATAGACTTATCAGTAAATTATTTTTGGAAAGATGAATTGGTCACACTAACAATTTCCTTAGGCCACTGAGGACTCCCAAGTGCTGAAGCTAGAATCCCATCTTTCAATTGCAGCATGATTTTGTTCCTTTTTTTTTTTTGGTATCAAAGCACTCTTTAATTTTCTTTGAATATGTAAAAGAACAGAACCTCTCCTGAAGCAAATTATTAAGGAACAAAGGCAAAGCCATTATCCCAAGACACTAGCACTTTAAGTCCTCATACAGCTGTTAGAGAAAACAATCCATACTTAGTGAAGAGACCTCCTTATCTCTTTAATTGATTTGTTTTTGTTTCTCTGAATAAAGCCTCTTGCCTGGCAGAAGCTAAGCCAGGAAAGCTAGCAAGTTGACATAAAAAAGGTTACTTAAGGATCAACGGAAACTACCAGGCCACAAAATTTTTCAAGCAATAAATATACCCACACCTGATGACCTCAGAAATTGAGAGCAACACCCAATGAACCACACAAACAATTGTCTGGTTTGCTGGTGTCTCTCAACCAAGACTTCCTTAGGCAAAATTTTTAGTCCATCTCCGTTAAAACTTCATATTTATACCTGAAGCAAGAGACTTGTTTATATCTAAATTTGGCAAAACGTGGCAAGGATTGCAAGAGCTATGTGTGTATATATATATATATTTTTTTTTTTTTCTGTCTCCAAGAAAATCCAGAACTGGTGGCTTTCAGGATTTCCTTGGTACATTCAACAGTATTGAGGATTACTGGGTTATAACATTTTTTAAAAGCCACTGAACTAATTTCCAGAGTTCCTTTCACCAGGACCTACAAACAGCAGAGCCGTTATGATCACCTTGTATATAGTGGCACCAGAGTGTGAATCAATGGCCATGCACTTGCTGGGTTTGTACAAGTCACTGAGCCATCTCCCAGGATTAACAAATGCTGAATGTCTTAATCTAACAGCTATAATTGGAGAGATCTAGTATTCTATTCTGATAACCCACAGGCCTGGGATTATTATTATTTTTTTGCTTGCTTGCTTGCTTGCTTTTTAAAAGTAATAAACTTAGTTGCAATTCATTTATCGAGTATAAACCTAGGCTCAGGCAAATGAGCACTCACATTAGTGTTTGAGACTTCTCAGTACCCCAAATACATAACACCAAAGTGCCATATAAAATTTAATGTAAAATAATCCAACATAAGCATAATAGCTACATGGAAATACAGGGTCTGGAGGTGCTGAGATAAGAAACAAGGCAGGAATGCTGTTGAAGCATTGAGGTCTTGTGTTTTGATAGTAAAATATTTTTGTTGATTTTAAAATGATTTTGAACACTGTTAAAGTATTGAGGTTATGTTTTGATTTTTAAAATATTTTTTGCTGTTATGGGGCCACACCTGGTACTGCTCAGGGCTTATTTCTGGCTCTGGGGTCAGGGAATCACCCTTGATGGGGTTTAGAAGATGGTGATGGGGGTTTAATAAGGGTCAGGCACATGCAAAGTTAATGCCTAACTTGCTGTATTTTATCTCCAGCTTTTGATTTTAAAAAATAAGAATAAATTGTACACCTTGCAGGTCAACTTCATTATTTTTTTAAAAAATTTTATTAGTGAAACACCATGAGGTACAGTTGTAGACTTATAAATTTTTGCGCTTGGATTTCAATTATACAATGAACAAATACCCATCCCTAACTTAAAACTATATCATGGATGTTGTAGCTATCTTTGTTACTGAGGTTTTTTGGCTCCTTCAATGTTTTCTTTGTCTACATTTTCACTGTCTTTGCTAGGGACAATTTTATGTGCATGCTGAGCTGTGTCTTAGTTGCTGCAACATATCCAAATGCTGGGGTAAGTGATAGATGCAATCTCTAGGAGCACAGAGTAAACAAAACCTCCAGGGAGAAGCCCGCTAGGATACAGCAGCATCAGGGAAAGTAGTAAGGTTTGGAGAATGAGCCTAGAACTCAACACCAGCGATTCAGCCACATGCATTTACTTTGACAGCCAGAGAGTTCTTGCTTGTGATGTGACTACAATCATATTTCCTTTCCATGGTGGGTCCCCTCACTTCGTAAAATCTCTGAACTTCCCTGCTGCTTTATCACTCTAGTGCTTCACTATAAATATAAGTTAATAAAGCACATTTGCATTTGTATAAAACTTCCTTCAAATATTTTTGAGTAACACATTATCTTTACAAACTGGATTTTTAACCTTAATTTTTTTCTTCTTCTTTTTCTTCTTTTGTTTAATTCTTATCCTGAGACTGAAATTTTTAATGGCAAGATTGTCATGTAAAGCCACACAGCTCAAAAGAGACATTCATAGCCTAAACTCAAATTCAGAGCTATTTGACATTAAAACTCAATTTACACATTCTGGCCCAGAGCTCATTTCATACTTTTAACCACTCAGGTATTTCAGGATGAGAAAGAGGAGAAGCCAAAAGTTAGAAGCAATCTTACCCAAGGTTACTGAGTCAAACCCATGGGCAGGTATTCAATAGGGGGGCGGGGGAGGTTCTGATGGGAAAACCATGATTTTGCTGCACTATATATTACTTTTTTCAAATTTAATTAATCAGTAAGATAAGAAGTCACATAAAGGTATTCCTGCAAGTACACTCACCTGTAGACCTGCTATTCCTGGGAGTCCTGGAAGGCCTCTGGGTCCAGCATCTCCCTATTGTATGAGCAAAGGGGAAGCAAACAAAAATGAGTGTCAGAACCCCTTACACATATTTTCAGTCATTTTCTTCTGGGATTTTCCTTTTGCCTGATCCATCCCTAAGGGTTTTTTAAATGGCTTTTTAAATCTCATTGTCATTTATTTGCCTGACTACTTTTTGTTATATTTTGCAAGAAATTGCTCGAGCGGGCCCAGTAACGTCTCCATTGGAGACTTTGTTGTTACTGTGTCTGGCATATCGAATACTCTCGGTAGCTTGCCGGGCTCTCCGAGAGGGACGGAGGAATCGAACTCGGGTCGGCCATGTTGGCCACTTGTAAGGCGAACGCCCTACCCGCTGTGCTATCGCTCCAGCAAGAAATTGGACATTAAAAAAAACTAAACCAAACCAATCCACACTCGTCCTTCAGCAGAAATAGTCTGTGCAGCTCTGGGTTGAACCATATGAGCCATAACACGGATTTTAGTGTATTATCTTGTGAGCAACAGATGTAAAGGGAAGCAAGTGCTCTGAAGCTGATATTGTAGGGAAGGAGAGACTCCATCAATAATCTCCTTTACTTTTATAACAACTACAGGCATTTATAGAAAACTAAACTAAACTGAACCCCAAGGGTGAGGCAGAAAAAGTTACTACTAAACATGTAGTAGTGAGAGTGTCACCATACATTCATGAGCATAGCCACTAAGGCTGGAGTGGCAGCGTTAGGGTCCAAGAGGGCCCTAATGACTATGGCTCCCACATTTCACACCCTTGAGCATACTTCTCCCATATGTTCCAGGAAAACAGTATTCCCGTCTAAGATGGTGGATTTTTATTAATACAAAAAAGAGGTTTTGCTTTTCTGCTCACCTTTTTTCCTTCTGGGCCTTCTCTCCCTGGCTTTCCCTGGAGACCTTTGTCCCCTTTAAAACCTGGCATACCAGGGAGCCCTGGGGGACCAGGAGGGCAGTCGTGGCACACATCCTGAGAGAGAAATGAGAGAGATATAAATAGCAAATAATATTGTTTTAACAGTTCCTACTTCCCTATACAGGATGATGCCTGCAAATGACTGGAAAGCAAACAGGTGGATTGACTCTTAACCCAGAGACATTCTGTTAAGCTTTCTTCCTCGAAATAACAGGCTAAGACAATGATAAAAAAAAACTGTCCAAAGTAATATCTAAAGATATTAACAGCACAGAACTAAGGCAAACATTCAATATTATTAAAAACAGCAAGCTTCCCGGGTAGATCATCCCCTAAGCCGGTCGACCCCAAAGAGCTCAGGTGCTCTGCTTCGCTCCATGGCCAGGCATTTCTTCATACTCTGTCACTCAGTCATCCTATACACACACATACAACCTAAATTAAGCTCCTAACCACACAAAAACACACAGTCAACTACGCTAAATGGCAAAGGTCACAATGGTAAAGAAACACCAGACATAGTAAGTGGAGAAGCTAGCCCAGGTGAACCAATGAGTGATAACAAGTTATATAACCTCTCTGATAAGGAATTTAAAATGTAAATGGTAAGGATGCATAAGAAGCTCAAAGAAAGTATGAAATGCTCCACCAATGAAATATAGGAGCATATTAGAGCAGAATTGAGGAAAATACAAGCAGAAATGACAGACCTGAAAAACTTGGTAGATGAAATGAAAAACTCACTGCTAGGCCTCGCCAGCAGAGTAACAGCTGCTGAGGACAGAATCAGTGAGCTGCAAGACAAGATACAGAGAAACTCTAGACTTATAGCAGAAGATGGAAAAGATCCTCAAAAAATAGCCTAACAGATGACAAGAAAAAATCAAGACAATGCCAAAAGGAACAACATAAGGATCATTGGAGTACCAGAAGGGCAGGAAGAAAACCCTGATGAAGAATTGGGCATGAACTCCACATTACTTTTTAAAATATTTTTTAATTGGGTATATGTGAGATAGAACATTACAAAACTGTTCATAATTGGTTTCAGTTATAGAATGATCCAGCAACCATCCCTCTACCAGTGTACATTTCCCACCACCAATGTTTCCTGTTTCTCTACCAACATACCTCAACCTCCCAGCCCCAGCCCCCCTCTATGGTAGGCAATTTCCTCCTTGCTCTCTCTCTCCTTTTCCTTTTATGCATTATGGTTTTCAATACAGGTGCTAAGAGGTCATGGTGTTTGTTCAGGGCATTTGGTATTTTTATCAGGACAGTAATACTGGAGTAGCTTTTCAATTGGGTGAAAGCTTTGGGGTATGGATGCATTGTCTTGGCTTCCGGAAGAAAAGGGAAGTGGGTGAAAGTAGCCTTTCCCAACCCTAAGAAAGCCTGGAGATTTCAGTCACAAAACCCTCAGACCAGAATTTTCAACAGATTATATATTGGTGAGGTCCATCCTGAGATGAAGAATCAGGCAGGGGGTCTAGCAGCGATTTTGGATTGTGGTAGCAAGTGGCTGCTGGGACTCTGCTTGGACTGGCCACCAGGCCTACCCGCCCCCTCCAATTTACTCCTGTCTGTTCAGCCATACTCAGGTTCAAGATTAACTGGGCTTTTGATCTCTTTTTATCTATGGGTCTCTGAAATTAGGCCAATAAATGAGCTTGTATAACTGAGCCAGAGATGGCTTGTGGGCTTGGCTCCCGCATGCTTAACTTTTGGCCATTTAATTACTTGGTAAACTTGGTCCCAATTTATTGGGGTCTGGGCAAAGGCACAGTGGCAATTTGGGGGTAACGGGAAGCCTGAAGGCACCTTCAGACTGTGATGCGCTCTCCCCACAGGTACAGTTGACTTACTGGTGGCACCATACCCCCAAACTTTTTTCTAAGGTTAGGGACAGAGCAAGCTGGAAACTGAACCTGCTCTACTGTATGTAGATTTGTCTAGGTTTCTGTTCAAATGAGAAGAACAAAGGAAGCAACAGTTGCATATTACAGAAGGGTCTTCTTGCTGTGACACAAAATCCCAACCAGACTATGTTCAGAATTATTCTTTGCCTAAAGGCACTTACTAAATGTTGTCTGGAACAAAGCTTTTCTTTACTTTGATTCAGGTAAGTGAAGTTTCCAGTGAGAATTTTAATTCTCTTGGCCCAGAGAACATGTTTTCTAATTTGGCTATGCCATCTTTCTATCTTACAATTTGGAGTGCACATATACTAAACACAACACACAATCCCAAATATAGGCTAGTTTATCTTATATTCCAGATGCTAGAATTTTTCCTTGGACATCTCTCTTTCCAATTATCCCTCACTAACATCTCTCTGTTCCTTGTAATATTTTTAAAAAGGCAGTACAAAATACTTAGAATAGTGTCAGATTTGATTGCTGTTACTGATATATGTACTCTGATTCTGACTGAAAAACAATGTTCAAAGCATTTACTTTGTTAGAAACTGTGTCTTTCTTTGACAGTGTTTTTGGTCTATACCTGACTATGATCAGAGCAGACTCCTGGCTCAGTGCTAAGGGATACCTCCTTCTTAGGATAACTCCAGGGAATATATGTGTGCTGGGGTGTAAATCAGGGTCTCTCACATGCAAGTCAACTGGTTTAAGTTCTATACCATCTCTTCCAGACTGGAGCAATAGCACAGCTGGTAGGGCATTTGCTTTGCACGTGATCAAGCGGGTTCGATTCCTCTATCCCTCTTGGAGAGCCCGGCAAGCTACTGAGAGTATCCCGCCCACAAGGCAGAGCCTGGCAATCTCCCTGTGATGTATTTGTTATGCCAAAAACAGTAACAACACATCTCACAATGGAGATGTTACTGGTGCCCGCTCGAGCAAATCCATGAACAGTGGGAGGATGGTGCTACAGTGCTACCATCTCTTCCATCCCCTTTGTTCTTTGAAACCACAGAGTATGGGTGCTGTAGAGCTCATGACTGGATGTTATGACCTAATACCAAATAAATGAATATGTTCCTCTGAATATATGTTTTTCTTTTCATTTCACTTGGTTGATGTTTCAGGAGATTTAACATTATTTTTGATCTTCAGTTCAAGATGAAGGGCTTTTCATTGCAAAAGCAAGTTTGAATTGTCCACCTTACTTCTACTTGTTTCATTCTTACAGAATCTATTTTGTTATGATAAAAGGGGTTGCTTAGCTGGTTATGGTTTGCACCTTTGCTTGTGGTAATTACTGGTGGGTGACATGTTGTGATGGCTTTCACTTGCTTGGTTGTGGTGTCCCAGAGATAGCACACTTTTTATGGCATTGGGTATACAATGGTAGAGCCAATAATCATACTTGGTATATAGGGTACCAGGCATCAAATTTGTGGTCTTATGCCTGTAAGACATAAGACATAATTATCACTGAGCCATATTCTTGGGTCCTTTTTACTGAATATTTGAATATTGAAAGTTTCTTATTCTGTTTTATAATAAAAAGATTACGAATTCTTCCTGATTACTACAAACTGAATATAAGGCTTGCATCCATGGTCTTCAGGAATTTCTTATTAAAGTAATTACATCTTACTGTTATCATAGTCTATTTATTACAAATTCACACAATACCAAATATTCGAAAGGAATCTTTGATCTACCAGAAGACAGAGGTAATTTTTATATCATCATATGTCAATCCATGGCAAAAAGTCTCCTTCAGATAAATGCATAAATTAGTTGTCCCAAACAAATAACAAAACATCCAGCTTTTGGTGCCCTGTGCTATCACCTTTAGGTTGGTAGTTTGGGAAGCTCTTTCAATTTTTATTTTAGAGCATCAAAGAGTCAGAATATTGAAGCACATGAGCAGAAACAAATGAGAAAACCTGAAGTATATTGGTTCCAGTTTTGCAGATTTCTTAGGAAATAAAATAGTAAGTGGAAGGAATTCATTTACTTCTTTAATCCAGAATGCTATTAATGGCACATATTCATGCAATTACAACAATAGATTGATGCATGTATGAGAATTGGACTAGTCTAATAGCAGCTTGAATTCTGGCTACTGAAATTTAGCTAAACTTGGATGCTTCAGTGGAAAACTGGAATCACTTATTGAAGTGGGTTCTGCAGCAGAAAAGGAATGATATATCTGAGTAACACAGAAATCTCACTACTTTCCTACTTCATTTCTATTTTTTGAGGGTTACCTCTGTATCTTGGTCAATCTTATAGATCTTGTGAATGATTGTTCTCTAAATACCAGAGCTGCCAACAGCCCCAAAAGTCTTAGCAATCTCAGACTGACCAGTGAGGGTACTGAACCAAGTACAACACACCAATGAGCAAGAGGTAAGTTCTCATCTTTACTAACACTCACTCTAGTTCTCCCAATCATTCCAGTTCTTGAGCTATCCAAATACCTCGATATTAGATAGATTCTTCTTGCTATGAGATAGAATTTCCAAGAATACATTATAGGGTCTTCCAACCTGGGATCATGGTTTCACTGTTCTAAACACCAGAATCCCTCTTTCTGAAGTACAGACCTCAAAGTATGATAAGAAATTCATAATATAATGAATGAAAAATGCATTGGTTCCAGGGTACACAGTAAGAACACAATTAGTTTTACTTGTAATATTAAAATAGTACAGTGAGTTCCATTGTGGTTTTGGTTAATGTGTTCCTCTCAAGTTTCTCTGTCCCTCCGAAATTACATTCTTTTGCCAGGATCACAGATGGGGTTGCCTGGACCGTCAATGCTGGCTCTTAACTCCTCCATGGAACTGAGTTGACTTATACAAACCATTCAGGCCCTTTAAATCATTTCTTTACCCATTAGAAAAGATCATTCTACTTTAATTATTCTGCAAAATTCAAATGGGGTTATCCAGGGCAATATAACTAGCTACTACATGCTCCTTGTGTATAATCTATAACTGCTAATTCCCTTATGGTCTCTATCATCTTCCTTTTGTTTGTGATATTTTCAGCAATCCTGGCTCCTAATGTCATTGTACCAACATAGCACAGCATATCAAATATTCAGTAAAATTCTTAATAAATGATGGAATCCTGAAGGTTCTGTTATGTGGGAAAAAACACTCATTAATTCCCAGGAATATAAATAAAGTCTAAGTCTCAACCAACCTGTCCTGAATCCTCAATGCATAGTCTTGACAAAGTATTGTGTGGTTTTGGGGTGAAGAGACAGCTGGGGGATAATGTATTTGCTTTACCTGTGTGATCTCTAGCACCACAGATGGTCTTTAAGCAAGCATCACTAGGAGTGATACACCAAGGAAGGCAGGAAGACAGGAAGGCAGAAAGGGATGCATGAGGAAGGAAGGAAAGAAGGAAGGAAGGAAGGAAGGAAGGAAGGAAGGAAGGAAGGAAGGAAGGAAGGAAGGAAGGGGAGAGAGGGAGAAAGGAAAGAAGGGAGGAAGGGAGGGAGGGAGGGAAGAAGGGAAGAAGAAAGTAAGGGATGGAGGGAGGGAGGAGGGGAGGAAGGAAGGGAGGAAAGAAGGACCAAACATTTTGTGGTTTATGGGTGAAAACTTTAAGCAATAAGCAGAAAACCCTGAACTTTGTCAGGTAAATTTCAGGACATTTACTTACATCATTATGAAGTTGGATAGTATGAAATTTGGAGTTAATCATACTGAATTTTACTGTGGCTCTACTGCTATTCTAGCTGTTTAAATTGTTACAAATGACTTGGTCATCAATTCACTCAGTCTCCTTTACAGTAAGAGAACTCACTCCTGGATTATTATATATCCTGGAACATATATATTCAAAGGGCTATGTTGATGGGGATTTCATGAGGATGATTACCCAATTTACACACTGGGCACAGATCCACTTATTGATATTCATTTATTAAGAACTATATAAAGACAAACTTTCTATAGTGATAGTTTTCCAAATATTAGAATTAATTATGCAATGTTATCAATTTCTTAGGGGGAAAGCTATTCTGATAACAATAAAACATGCCTTTGCAGAAAAAGAAGGTCTTGCCCTTCATCACCTATATCAAACCAGAAGATTTTAGCCTACATTAATATGGCAACAGATGATAATAATACAGGGAGATAATTAGTTGATTCCACAGATGGTACCAACCTATATGATTCAGGTTTTTGTTTACAGGGTTTATACAGACAAAGTACATTTTCTTGGGTCCAGTTCTATCCTGTATGTAGGTGCTCAAATGTCTCCTGAGTTTCCATAAATTCAGCTACATTCAGTAGCATTATGAATGTTGATTTCACTGAAAAAATCTTAAGGCTTTCTGCACAAAAAAACAATGCTAAACCCTCAGAGTGCTCACTCCTGTTATCACCGGCATAAAAATATGGACATATTGAAGCTGAAATCCTTGGAGTGAAGTCAAGGAAGGAGTTGATTCATATAAAGTTTTTTTCCAGAGTGATAGAATTATGAAAAATGATCTTAGCTAACAAAAGCCTGTAATAAACAAGGTGAAAATCAATAAATAATGATTTCATGTCATGTCCTTGACCAGGGAGAAATTCTCATCAATAAAAATGAGGAAATATTACTCTGCTACAACTCCGTTTTTAATAAAGTGCATAATTTTCCATTAAAGTATATCACTGTGTAGAGAATTTAAAAATTCCTAGGTGTCTAAGAATTTTGGCCTTATTTCTCTCTGGGTAACTCCCTTGAACTCATACATGAACTAGATGCTTTCTTATATCAGTGCTTTTTAAAAATACTTCAAGTTAGGGGTTACTCACTCAAAATCCAGTATCTAATACCGCCTTAAAATTTTAGACAAATTACTGAATTAAAGCCAACAAATTATTCTACTCATATTGAAGCAGGACTATTTTTTTTTGAAATCTAAAAAAAAATAGATTTTTTTAAATTTTCGTCTCTCCTAATTTTCAGTCACTTAAGTTCTGAGGTTCCATACAGCCTTTGGGATTTTTGGTATTTCATTTACTATTCGATATGCCAAACAAAGTAACAAGAAAGTCTCCAATGGAGACGTTACTGGGTCCGTTCGAGCAAATTGATGAACAACAGGAGGACAGTGACAGTGACAGTGACATTTGCTGTCTCAGAATTACCATGGTTACTACGGAAATGGCCCACCCGAGTTCGATTCTCCGCCCCTCCCAGAGAGCCCTGCAAGCTGCCAAGAGTATCTCGCATGCACTACAAGGCCTGGCAAGCTACCTGTGACATATTTGATATGCCAAACACAATAACAAGTGTCACAGTGGAGACGTTACTGGGCCCGCTCGAGCAAATCGATGAACAACGGCAGGACAGTGACAGTGACAGTGACTACGGAAATACCAGAAATCCAACTCTCCCTGAACTAAAGCATAAACTTAATTTAGCTAAAATGTTCATCACTAACTGTACCTCTCTGCCCTTATACCAGCAGCACCCATACCATCTCTTTCTGATTCTGCATGTCAGTGTCTTTTTCATTGAGGACTGAGTTATATTCTTATAAAGTCACTGGCCTTCATCATTTTTTCAGTTCCTTGTATACAAAGCAAAAACTGAAATACTAATAAACTAGGATAGTTGTGAAAATAAAATATATGAGCTGCACATTGAGTATTTAGCACAAGGACTGTCCTGGAAAACTTCCTATGGTGATGAAATTCTTTATATTTGCTTGTTATATAAGATAACCACTGGCCACATAATTATAATTTTAGTTCAATTCAAATGGACACTTATGAACAGTCACTGATGCATTGCACAGTAGATAGTAGATTGTTGGCACATGATAACACCAATATTATCATTAGTTCTCACCATAGTATTGTAACACTAGTATATAATTGTTCTAACAAAAACTAGTGTAATCTCCAATCCCCTTACACCATTTTCAGAATGCATGCAAATGTATTCATGCCATTACCTTAACCAAAAGATCTATGTCCTCTGGAGACAGTAGTGGAGAGATGCCCTGTCAAAGTAAAAATAAATAAATCTGTACATGGGCACAACATACACAAAAAGTGCACATATACACACACTGTAAATCCCATTCCCTATCAGACAATTCAAGTTCTCTTCTATGTAATCTATAACTTCTAACTGTCTTATGTAAGAACTCAAACAGTCCCGTCTGTATCAGTGACTGGAGAAGGTGTCAAATCCTAGTCAGGGCTAGTGGAAAATGGACTCACCCTGTCCCCAGTCTCTATCTCTCACCTCTTCTCCTCTTCTCTATATTCTCTTTCCCCACTCTCATAGAAACTGAGATTTCATATAAGTACTGTAGAAATCTAAAGAGGTATACAGTTAAGACTCCTTGGGGACTAAGCTATTACAACACTATATGACCATTTGAAACAATTTTTGGTTTACAAGGTGAAATAGCATTTAGAAAAATCTTCATTTGAAAATAAATTTGTATCTTCAGGTCACCCGATCTATATTCAAACCCACTGTAAATTGGAGTGTGGCATATTATGATACAACTGGTGCAGAATCCAAGTTTAGCAAAGGGTTGTGTCCACACAGAGGTGTAAGGAACAAGGCTATGATCAAAAGAGAAGACTAAAAGTAGGCGATAAAATTTTCTTAAGAGTTGGAGATTAGAATATTCCCATGAAAACATCTATATTTTGCAATAAGAAAGGACCACTAGTGAGTCCACTGCTCAGAGGGAAGGTGATAGATTTTTTTCTCTCTAGAATATGAAAAGTATGTAGGCACAAGTGAACATATGGTGGTTTATTTATTACAGCTCAGTCTGAGTTTATAAGTGCATTCTAGCATCTCAGGAAGACAAAAACAGACTTTTTTTGCTGTTCCCATTTTTCCCCCATTTTCTTGAATTTCTGAGGCTGCAAAAACATATGCTAGGGGCATACTATTAATTTGCTTAGGATACCCCTTGTAGGAGCTGAGATATAGTTGTTTTGCTTTTTATTATCTAACCTTCTGGGCTATTATAACTGAAAGACACAAAAGAGACTGGCATGAAACTGAAGAACTGGGGAAGCCAAGGAAACTTCTAGTCCTAAATGAAGTCTTATTTAAGTTGCAGGTGCTAAAGAAACAGCCAAGATCTTTTTGAGTTATCTAAGAAAGAGAGCCCCTGCTGGAGGGCCAACCTTCACATAAGAACTTATTCAAACTTAAAAAGGGAAAAACTATTTTTTAAAGTTTTCTATTTTTCCCTGGGAAGTTAATACTGGAGGAGAATGAATATTTTTTTTTAAAAAACTGTGCATTTTTGTGCTGTTGGCATTGTTTTCTTTGGGGCATTTTAGCATTGTCAGTTGAGTTCTTTAGAGGGAATTTAATCCAGGCATGCCATGAACTTATAAATAATTCAACTAATGTCTTGTTCTGACCAGTTCTATAGACCTTCCTATATAGGTCTCAAGAAGTTACACAGGAACATTCTCTAGGGGTTGGAATTTTTTGCAGGTTGACAAATATGACCTGATGAATATATGACCTGATGAATAAGTCATTTATGGTGGATCACTGTTAGGTCTGATGGGTTCAGATAAAAAACAGAGGGGGAGAGTTTTAGGTATAAAAGATTCAATCTGTGACCTATGTAGATGTCTGAATCTCCTAAATTACTCCTGAAAGGAAAACCCACTTAGAATGGCAGGGAGTTGAGGGAGTTGTACTGCCAATGTTTCATTTGGAACTAAAATGAAAAAAGAGAACCTCATTTACTAGAAACAGAACAAAACAGAACAGCAACTTTTTTTTGGCTTTTTTTTTTTGGTCACACGGGTGATGCTGAGGGATTACTCTTGACTGATGCACTCAGGAATTACTCCTGACGATGCTTGAGGGACCATATGGAATGTAGGGAACCAAACCCAGGTTGACCATGTGCAAAGCAAATGCCCTACCCACTGTGCTATCGCTCCAGCCCCAAAAGCATCTGTGACCATTTACATTACAGGAGTCATTTGATATTTTTTTCTGCTTTAATGTTTCCTACTCCTTGTAAGTTCCCCCACTTCCCTCCAACCCCCAACCACCAAGAGTACTCTCTCAGTCAGTGACTGGCACAAGAATCTCTTTAAGAAGTTTCTAGAGAAACTTTCTTTCTTAAAGTTTCTCTAGAAACCTCTAGAAACCATTTTTAGGTAGGGATGGGGTGGTGTAAATTTCTATATGTGCAACCCTGTACTTCACTTCCGGTTCCACTCTCTACCCACTGAGGAATGATGACCATAAAGTGAAGGGATAACTGACTTGTCTAAACTCGTCAATTCTAAAGAAAAGTCTATCCTAACCAGTTCTCAAGGGATATCATTCAAGCTCTTGGAATGTTCTGACATGTACATTTTTATTTTTGCCTAGTATCCTGGTCATGTCAGAAAGCTTATTTGAAATAGCTCTTGGATAATGTTAGGTTGATCTCTGGAGAGGATAAGAGACTAAGTGACTAAGCCCAGTCACATGGGAACCCTTTGGAGGGCCCACCATGGTTATTCTGATTATTATTATATCTTTTGTCAGTGGTAACTAAGTCATATGACTCCCCAGAAGATGAGTGTACTGCACACAAGTAAAACCAGCAGGAACTTGATCTAGAGAGGATGACATACTCGGGATTGTACAAGTCCACTCAGCTTTTGACAGCTTCCACTGTTCTCACTCTGAGAGAAAAAGGAATTTTTATGATAATAGAAACAAGACCACTAGCAGTTCAGATATAGCCCTAACTGGAAAAGGTGCAGCAAGAAATCCAGTTAAAACTTTTCAAAAATGTGGTCAGTCTCATATCTATTTTCTCTTTCTCTGGCTTTCACCTGCCCCAGAAGTCTGTATTGCAGGAATGTATCATGGGGATGCTTCCCTGTTGGGCTGGCATTTTAGCCAGTGAGAGATAGTGGAGAAAGTGATGACTGTTCCGCCTAATTTATTCCTGATTTCTGGCACTGGTGTTAAACCTATACCTACAGTTCCTATTGGATGGTCCCTACCCTGAATTCCTCTTTCTTAATATGAAAATAGGCATAGTTATGTTTGTTATTGGCGTCATGCTGTGGTTTATTTCTGGGCATGACTGTCTTTCAGCTCACTTCCCCTTCCATAGCTTTATAAATATACTTATTTGAAGTTTCTTGAATCAAATGAATTGCATTTTATTCTTCCTGAGTCCCTGATAGTTGACATTCATCCAGACTAGTTAGATGACATACTGGTTTTCCAGGAAGCCCTCTTTCTCCTGGATTTCCTGGTACACCCTGATGGAAGAAGAAAACAAAACAGTAATTGTGCTAAGCATACAATCTTTTATCTTCTCTATCTACATTTTTCACCAGCCTCAATATCTACGTCAAATATAATTTGGTAGAAAAATATTGAAGATTTGTACCAATAAACATTATTCATTTTCCCTCATATACAGGGTACCCTGGAGGGGGCAAGTGAGTCCCACCACTCGCCCTAACAGAACTCCGGAGCTGAAAATCTCCAGAACCCAATCACCCCCATGCTCACAGCTTATCTCCTCAGGCTCAGATGAGCTTTATCCATGAATAAAAAACTCAGGTATGCAAGTTCTGTGACTGAAATCTCCAGGATCTCATGGAGTCGGGGGTGGGCCACCTCCCTCCTCTTCCAGGAGTCATGCCCAGGCATTGCCTCTGGAACCAAATAAACTCATTAACAGGCCATAATCCAGAGACTCACAAATGAATCTCAGAAGAGGGAAAAATAATCATAATAATAATAATAGTAATAATAAAACTAACAAGTTCTTAATCTCAGCTGAACAGCCAAAACTCCCCCACAAAATTGAATGGTGGCAAGTATTTACAACAATTTGTAACTTCTTCTTATAGATGACATTTAAACATAACAAAAATAACTCATGCAGAGTATGTATGTGCACCACACACACACACACAGACATATACAATCAAACCCATTATTTCATCCTTCTTTTCAAAACACTGGTTTTGTAAATGTAAGTGGACTAGAAAACCTCTTCTATAGAGTATCAATGAGAAAATAAAGTTGACAGAAGACAAATTAAGAATACACAGAGACAGGAATTAGAGGGTAAGTCTATTCTGTGAAACAGAACTCAAGGAGGGGAAGAAGAATAATTTCTCTCATATGCATGATTTACAGGAACAGATTAAGGGATAATAAATTCCCAAGGGTAACCAAAACTGAGAATGCGTCCTTGGTAAAAAGCTTACCATAGGGGGTGGAGAATGAGGGACACTGAGACAGTAATCGAGAAAGGTGAACACCTGGGTGAAGGGGGCAGGGGAATATTTCATGTGTGAAACCTTCCTAATAACAGTGTGTAAACCTTAGTGTTCAAAAAAGTATGAATAAAAAGAAATTAATTAAAGGGGCAGGTAAATTATTATTTCTTCTTATAATAGACAGAAACTATTACAGTAGACAAAAAGATGCAAAACTACATACAATGAATATAATACTGTTTAATAGTGCTTGGCATCTTTGCTTTATAAAAACACTTCATTGACATCTAAGCATTGGATCAATGAGTAAATATTCTGTCTCTGAACCACTGCAAGGCATAAAAATAAAGTCCACATATTCTTGGGACTCAAAAAGCTTTTGTCAAATATCTGACAATGTAGATAAAAGATATTATCAGTGGGACTGGAGTGATAATACAGCGGGTACAGCATTTGCCTTGCATGAGGCCAACCTGGGTTCTATTCCCAGCATCCCATATGGTCCCCCAAGCACTGCCAGGAGTAATTTCTGAGTGTAAAGCCAGGAGTAACCCCTGTGCATTGCCAGATGTGACCCAAAAACCAAAATATAAAGAAATAAACAAATAAATAAATATATAAATAAAGAGATGATATCAGGTAAGCCTGAAATTTCCTTTAATAGAGAAAGAAAATCATTCCATAGATGGGCCAGAAAAATTCTATACAGAAGCTGGTATCTTACTTGAGCATAACTGAGGAGCCAGCTATGTATGTAACTTCTAAAAAAATTCTAAAAAATATTACAACAATATAGGGAAAGTATAACACCAAGTCTTTCCAAGTATGAGACTTCCTATGAGTTTGTTAGAAAATATGATACAAATGCCTGAGGATTAAAACTAGACGATATAAAATTACAGACCAAACTAAATTGAAGATGAAACATTTTTAAATGTTTATGGGTGGAAAGATTTTTATTTTTGTATTTTGTTTATTTTATTTTTTTGGCTTTTTGGGTCACTCCTAGTGATGCATAGGGGTTACTCCTGGCTCTGCACTCAGGAATTACCCCTGGCGGTTCTCAGGGGACCATATGGGATGCTGGGAATCGAACCTGGGTTGGCCGCATGCAAGGCAAACTCCCTACCCACTGTGCTATTGCTCCAACCCTGGAAACATTTTTAAATGTTCATGAGTGGTTAAGGGAAAGAATGAATGAAACAAAACTGTTCTTAGGTTTTCTGAAATGTCCTGCCCTGAGCTTTCAGTCTGACCACATAGTCATGGAAGTCTGGAGGACTAGGCTTCTGTGTGAGACTTTAAGAAGGTTTCCATATGAGACTTTAAGAACCTTGATTGAGTTTATACCATTTATCCTTACTTACATCCTGTCCAGCTGGTCCCTGAGGGCCAGGGAATCCAGGTAAACCTCGAGATCCCTGGTGAAAAAGAAGATAAAATAGCTTAAGCAAAGAAAAATCCCCTTTACTTGGCACACATAATACAAATAGCTTGTTGTTAAGAGGAATGATATGTGTGCCAAAGAGCACTCTACTCAGAACTGACTCATTTCATTATGCTTGTGGAGGTGGATGTGTTAAGTACACACAGAGAACACTCTGGAAAACTGTAACCATGAATCTTATTTCCCAGACCCCACAGCAAGCCCCTTTCCTGAGTGGGATGGAACAGTTCCTGCAGTGAGGCAAGACTGGTGCAAATACTCATGCAAGGAATGCCTATTTCTTGCATTTTCCTGATAGACCCACAGGTTGCTGATCAACTGAATAAGTTGACTTGTGTAAAACCAGAGAGCTCAGCACAGAGCTCAACAGCAGATGCTATAGATGTATATAGAGAGGCATATACATATATATCTGCACACATGCATATATGTATATATATAATTCTCATTCTGTTGAAAATGTCTGTATAATATCAGGAATTGACTCATGATACTCTTGCTTCCTGTAGGAACTTAAATAGATAAGTGCAAGATTAACTCTTTTGCTGATAGAGACCGGGATACCATCTCAGAAACTAACTTCCTCTTCCCTCTTTTAGGGTCTTCATATATCAATCTTTCACACTAATCCCTCCATTTGGATTTCAGTTACATTATCTACATGTTAACACTACTGCTCTAAAGTTTCACACTGATCAACTACTGCTCTAAGGCCCCAGTTTCCTCATCCTTGAAGTTTGTATGAAAATCATGATTCTCTTTAATTCAGAAGTCATTTAAGAGGGCAAAATTAAATATGTAACATGATATAAGGTGCAATGTTATAGATGATAATATGTAACTCTTCTTTTAATGGGTGAGTTTTATATAAACACTCTTTTATTTCTAGTAAATTCATAAATATGCTTTTATTAAGTTGCTGCTGCTTTTAAGGAGTGGCAAATGTTTACTTGGAGCTTTCTTGCTGTTTTAACACACATTTAGTCCAGTTCACTTCCTTAGCTATCCAACAACCTTATTCCAAATAAAAAAAAATCTCCCTCAGGAGGATAAAGAAATATCTTTCGTTTGCTCATTGTTATATGGATATAATTTGGGGTTGCAAAGCCAGGATTAAAAATTAGTTCTTATGGAATTATAATCAAATTCATGAAATTATGACTACCTTTCTGTGATGCAGAGATATCCAAAAATCAATATTGTCCATTTGCCTACAAGGCAAAATTATACCAGATACAGATACCACCTCCTTCCCAGTCCCTCAATATTTGGTCAATGTTTATATCTTGCAATAGTAGTCTGCCCAGTTAAATGTGAGGATTTTCAGAATTTATATATTTATGGTCCTCAAATTTAAAATATCTTTGAGTAAAAGACCAATGTCCTGCATCTGGACAGATAGTAGTGGGTAGGGCACTTGTTTTATGTGCAGGAGACCCAGGTTCAATCCCTGGCACCCATTATGGTTCCCTGAATCCTAGCAGGAGTCTTCCCTGAACACAGAACCCAAAGTAAGCTCTGAGCACTTTCAGGTATGGACCAAATCTTCATCATCCCAACCAAAAAAGGTCAATGTTTTCCATATTAGCCCAACCATTTCTTAAAATCATACTTTACCGGGGGCCCTTTGTCTCCTGTTGCTCCAGAAGGACCCTAAGAAACAAATGAACATAAGTGAAGAAGAAAAAGAAATTATTACTTAAACATACTGTGGTAATTAGTTCTAAGACAAGTCTTCAGTTGTCCAAGGAATAGGAGTAAGTGTCCTCTCCATGAAGGTACATTGTCATACTTATTAAAACTCACCATCCAAAAAGGAATTATGCATGTGGAAATCTTTCTGGACACTTCTCTATTTGAGCCTGAAGTTATATTACCCTATTTTAGCACCCACTTGATTCCTAACACCTGTATCCATCTCAGCTTGAAAATCTGGTATACAGAGGAAGTCTCGGCATTTTCCTATTATGTCCCCTTAAAGATTCTTGTCTTTCTTGCTCAGGACAAGGTGGGGCACACTTAAAAGTCTACCATCTGATAAGTATGTCCTACCAAGAATGTGGTTTCCAGATATTGAACTTAAGCTGTGCTCCTGAATTGAATCATTAATGCATAGTCTCAGGTCCTGCAAACTCTCCCTTGGCCTGGAACGTTTATTTACTACACTTCTGTATAGAAATCTGCCTTACCTTTCTATTTGGATATATCCTTGTCATGGTTTAGTTCTTAATTGCATAGCCCTTAGAAAGGTCTCTTTAGTTCTTTAATACGCCTAATCCAGGACACAGTGCCTGCAATTAACATTCCTTCTCATCTGTCCTTTCTACTAAATGGAATAACTGCTTCACTGGGGGAACAAACATGCACCAAGCACTTTGTTTGGCAAGTTTCTCCATTACTTGGTACAGTGTTCTGTCTTCAGTCATAACATAGTAGAGTAATACACATAAAATAACACTACATCAAAACAAAAAGTTTAAAGTATGAGGGTAGAGAAAAAAATTATAATCATTTTTCTTTGAATGATAATCATATTAAGACTCAGAAGAGAAAAGGGAATTTCCCATACCATAATGGTAGTCACTTGCTCACTCCATCTCTAATCTCAGCCCACTTTTCCCTGTACCTTTTCTGTAGCAATATCCCATGAGAAATTCCATATATATTCCCAAGAGGGAAATATTATCACACAAATATTATCACACAATTGTACAGGATTCTGGCAGTCCGATAAGCAGTTAACCTACCATACCCATTAAACTTGTCCCAGAACTGCATGATAAATAGAATAAAGGTCATCTTAACTACATAGTTGAACATTAAAGAAAGTAGGGAAACTTTCCTGTGGCCTAAAGAAAAACAAACAAATAGTTCCCAAAGTAATATTCTGAAGTTCCTTAGTAGGAAAGTTAGTAGGGAAGAGGAAATAATGGTAAGGAATACAATGAGCTTTATTTGATCAGGAAGTTAAAGCTCAGAATATTTATAAAAGAAAAGGTCTTTAACAGGTTGTAACACAAGACTTCCCCAAGAGGGAACACATAGCAAATATGTGTGCTCTGTAAGCCATATGATCTCAGGCAGATATTCAGACTTTGACAGTCATAATTAATGGCTACAGTTATATTCAGTAAAACCTTAATAATAAATGATGAAGTATAAATGTTATAGACTTTTCATATCATAAGGTATTAATCCACACCTTTTTTTTATAAAAAGCCATTTAAAACTGAAAAAAATTCTTAGATCTTAGGGAATGCACAAAGTGGTGTTGAGCATGATTTAGTCAGTGAGACACAGTTCACTAACCACTGAAAAATAACATTAGTTGAGAGATAAAGAAGGAAAGGTTGTCAAAGATACTTTTCTGTCTTTGCCCAGGATATAGGTGCTTAATGAGGAAAAGGCTTCCTTGAGATTAGTGTTCAGAGCTTGTCTTAGCATGTATTTGGAAGCTTCAAGTTATAATGTCATTATATTTTTCAGCCCGAAGTTGAGGTATATACCTAAAAATTTTCCCTTGCTCCTAGAAGAGGACAAAATCAAATTATTTCTGAGAGTACAGCCTTCAAGATCTTCAAAAATATGCTTCTGAATGACATTAGCTCACAATATCAAATTAACCATTTCCTGTTTTTTAAAAAAATAATTTACAAAACTGAAGGTGGTAGAGCTATCAGATATTGGCAATAAAATAATAAAATGAAAATAGTCAAACACATTAAAATAAAAAGATCTAATAATATAACATTGCTTATTGCTTTTATTTTAAACCTGGCAGGAATCAAAAGAAGTCATTGAGACTTTTGAGAAATAAAAGTATGAAGCCAATACCTCCCATAGTCTTTTGTTCCTTAGAACTGTTGTAGCAGTTAATAGAGTTTTGTTCCATGTCCTAGAATAGTACATTTATAACTTTAATGTGAATTTTGTTGAATCCATATAATTCCTTAGTAGAAGTATTATTTTGACTATGTTGATTCAGCTACTTAATGAAGATGGGATGTTTATTTCCTGGTAACCTCTTCTATTTTTATTAAATACTGCCCTATGAAAACAGGATGAGAACGTTATTCAGGTCTCCCAAAGAGGAATCAAACGAGCTATGCTTGGAGTATCTCGCTTCACTCAAATGAGAGAAAGTATCCGGAGTTCCGACCTCCGTCGAAAGCCAAGAATCAGGGATGCTGTCTCGTTAGCCAAGGCATCAAAAATCAGATGGGCTGGACATGTAATGTGATTTGTAGATGACCACTAGACTAGAGCTATTACCAACTGGATTCCAAAGGACGTCAAAAGATTCCGTGGCCGCCCACCTATGAGATGCTCAGACTTCTTCATCAAGATGCTGAATGGTCAGTTTGAGGCTCTTTGTGTTCCTAGAATGAGCAGATGCCATTGGGCTACACTAGCATGCAACAGGGACGAATGCAGACATTACTGGTGCCCACTCCAGCAAATCGATGAGTAACAGAATGTCAAGTGATCAAGTGACTGACTTATGGTTTTCTTTGTATACAAATTTCAGGTGGTGGGGCACTCTGGAGGGGGCCAGGTGAGAGCCCTCCCGGCCCCAAGGGACCTGGTCCCGGCAGCCAAAAACCTCTAGAACTCAACTTCTACCATGCTTACAGCAGTTCTCCACAAGCTCGGGTTGAGCCTCACCTACAAGGCAAATGTGGCTGCTCTGCTGACTTTAGGATAACATTGGTTTGTCCTTTCTGCCTTGCCACAGGGAGCTTAGGTTTATTGGGTTTCTCCCATCACACTGCTCCCATTCCTTTGGGTTTATTTGTAACTTCTTTCTTTGTGCTCTGTTGACTTGTAAATATTGTTTTTCTCTTCTCCTTAAGTCGTTTGCATAGTTAATTCAGTCTGCCCCTGTGCCTGGCTGTTCCTCGCTGGGGCCCATTGGAGGGGAGCGGGTTGAGCTTTCCTCCCCACCCCGACCAGGGCTCCGGCAGCTGAAGACCTCCAGGACCAGCCACCACCATGCTGAGACCACTCTCCGCACACCTGAAGGTACTGGCAGAGGGACAAATCCACGCGGGTTCCGGGGCCGAGATCTCCCAGCCTACTCGGATTGGAGTCGAGCATCCTCCACCCAGATCCTTCAAATTCCAGTAGGCAGGGGTCACACCCACCACCTGGCCCCCTGGCACCGTGTAATCCCATCAACGGCCAAGACTCAGAGACTATAAAATCCAGCTCCCGGAACCGCGCGGCCGCATTAGCGGCAGCACGACATCTTATCAGGACATCTTTTATGACATCTTATTATCTCATTCCTACTTTGGACAAACTTGCAGGCTATCGAATGTAGCCTGCCCACAGGGCAGAGTCTGGCAAACTCCCCATGGCGTACCAAATATGCCAAATACCAGTAACAATGGGTCTCATTCTCCTAAAGAGCCTTGAATATAATCTCAGGGTTAGGATGAAAGAGACGTTACTGAGGCCTGCTCGAGGCAATCGACGAATAACAGTTAATTCAGAGCATTGCCATTTTTTTTGTGGGCTGGAGCAATAGCACAGCGGTTGGGTGTTTGCTTTGCATGCGGCTGACCAGGTTGAGCCGGGTTCAATTCCTGTACCCTTCTCAGCGAGCCTGGCAAGCTACAGAGAGTATCTTGCCCGCAGGGCAAAGCCTGGCAAGCTACCCGTGATGTATTTGATATGCCAAACACAGTAACAAGTCTCACAATGAAGATGTTACTGGGCCTGCAAATCGATCAACAATGGGAGGACAGTACTACAGTCCTTTTTGTATGGACACAAGAAGACAGTTAATGCTATGCTTTTGTAATTTGTGAGTTAATTAACTCTGAATGATATTTACCTCCTGGACATCTGTTTTCTCAACCTAATTCCAGTTTCCCTTACTTCCTAGCACCCCAAACAGGGTTCCGACGAGGGACTAGATGTACCTAAGGCAAGCAGTGAGCACATATGCTGCCCTGGCATTGAAATGGACCTGGCCAAAGTGACATATGCTTAACCATAAGTTAAGAACTTCATCATGGACAAGTGTTGTCATGATCCAAAAAGCAATAACTAGATTCGGACCCTGCTAGGGTTAGAAAAGATTAATCTGGCCCGAGCACTGTATTCTGAGTCTGTGGCGAGATGTCCCCAGGAGTGGCACCCTACAAGCTCACTGTATGTCTTACTGTGTTCATACAAAATAACTAATATGAAGAAGTAGAATTAAGATGTTAATTAATTTATTGAACTAAGGAGAAGAGGAACACCCCTAGGTGGTGTTTCCACCTTTGAGCCTGATGGGTAGTCAAGAAAGGCTTTCTTATGTTGATTGTGCTAACAGACTGGTGTAGTGTCTATCCCCAGTGCTAGGGAGTTGGAAAGAGATGGGGGAATTGGAGAGAGACCAGAGAGAGAAAGAGAGAGAGAGACAGCAAGATGGAGTGTGGAGAGACAGGAGAAGACAGGAATGAGGGGCAGTGTGAGAACAGAATGGGGAACTCAGAGAGACTGGAACAGGTGCGTGGGACGAATGGAATAAACGGCAACTGAACAACCAACTGGCTTGGCCCTCGTTTCCTCCTTTGTCCACCCCATGGCATGGGCTGCCCTGGCTGGGGGAGTGGCCTGAGATCACCAAACGCATGTGGCAAGAGGGAGAGCTGTTGGGA